CCTTTGAAACTGGTGAAAATGTAAAAAAAAAATCAAAAAACCGTTTTTTACTTTATGGATTGATAATAGTTGGGTTGCTGCTTTAGACTTAATTGCCTCAATGAGTTCTGTAAAAACCTGTTTGATCGTCCATTTACTGTGAATTTACTTATCCTCAGTTGTTCAATCATCTGCAGTTCAAACTTCTTAGTTTGCATGTTTCCTTATGGCGCTCTCTTTTTTTTCTTTTTCTCCCAGACAACTCTAACACATTGGCTGGTACGTAGGTAGGTGTTTACTCCTTAAAAAAACCTCTCACCTCCCCCACAAACACATTAACTATGGAATCACAAATTGAAAGTAGACTCGTGTTGACTCCTTATGCAACCAGACTGTCAGGATGTGATAGTTTGAACAAAAAGTTTCAGTGTAGACTGTGTAGGAGGCAGAGGACATCGACAACGTCTTCTGCCAGACTGAAACTCATGTTTAGAGAAGTTTGTTTTCTCTCTCTTTTGTAAGACATACTGTAAAGGGAAGTCTTGTCAGAGAGATGCTACATACTTTGTGCTCCTAAAGCACTGTTGTTCGCTGAGTCAGTGAACCGTCCAGCCTGTCAGTTGGCTTATGTAGAAAAAAGAGTGGGTGTATCTTTACCATTTACAGTCCAAGCCATAGAGTGTACATAAAGATGGACGACATGACAGCTTCCCAACAGTCAACCCAAAACGTCTTGATTGTCCCCTAGTGATTGGCTGCAGTACAGGTCATAAACCCTGCCTCCTCCACGTCAGTGGATGGGACATGGGCCAAAAGTAAACAGTCAAGACACGTTAATTAGATTTTGTTAATCTTTCCCGTACATTTGGTTTAATTAGTAATTTAATGATATAAATATAGAATGAAGAGTTGGTAGAGTGGGTGTATCTGCAGGACCTTGGTACAGCAGAGCACCTCCGATTGCTACTGCCAGGACCCTGGCTCCAAATTACGTCATAGGTGTAACATGACAACATTCGTATACATGATATTTTGGCTGAAAATATGAAGACAATGCTGACCAGAGATCAGTACTTCAGCTGTATAACCCCATAGGAATCCCCTTTTTAATTATGACCTATGTGTGTACATAATGTCTTCTCTCATAAGATCAAGTAGTGTTGTGTTACTGTGCTGCAAAATCTCAAGCGTCTGACTTTGATGCCCTCTGTTTCCACTGTTATAATACCAGACTACTCCCAGCAGTCACAGTTTAAACCACGTGGTCGTCTTTCACTTAAATGAAATTGAATTAAGTTGTTTTTAGATGTCTAAACTTAATAAAGCCTTAACCCTAAATGGAGAGAGACTGACAATGCTCCACTAAATAATTTTATCATTAATTGGGAAGGTTCTGACACATTTTATTGATCTAAATATTTGGATGACAAATCAGCAAATGCTTCACAGGTAATTTGTAAACTGCCTGTTTTCTTTAGGTTAGAAAAGTATTTAAATTTAAATCATCTTCTAAAGTGGAGAGAGAAATAGACATACATTTAAAATTTTAAAGCTGTTATTATAGAAAAAATGTACTTTTCCTTTGTGTAAGGTTGGAGTGGCTTGTACTTTGGTTCATAGCATATAGAGTTAACAACTTCACCTTTACTCCTGATCTTTCATCATAATCCATCATGAAGTCTCAATCCTTAATGTGCTTTAATACTTCTTCATTTGTACAATAATTCAATACTATCCACAGCCCTACTTACATAACTTTGTCAAGTGATACTCTCTTCTTAAGAGCCCCTTGCTAATTTTCTGTGGGTGTTGTGAGCACCATTGGCATCCTTCCCTCCTGCCCATACAAGCATCTTTTTGTAGACTCCTTGCTTGTTTTCTTCCCCAGTTATCTCTACTTTAAAAACCTCAGCTAGACTTGGCTCCTCTTAACCTTAGTTTTACAGCTCCAAAACCCTTCTCCAAAACACCTTGCCCTTTGCCTTATTGGTAGAGTACTATAAAAACTAAGTATGTTCTCCTCGAGCCCAGTCTCTTAAACCACCGTGTTCTGTTTTGATATTTTATTTTATCTGTTTTAATTTTGGATGAATCCCACTCTGGTCTCATTCATTTTGAATGAAGAGATCTATTCAAGCTTAACTGATTAACTTGTTGAATTGGGGCTTGAGGGTTTTCTCCTTTTTTCATTTTTTTTTTTTTTTTCCTCCACACTTTGCCTTTCTATGTTTTGTTTGAGTTCTAAGTTTATCTTGGTCTCATCCAGACAATGCATTAGGCTCATCTCTAGACTGTAACTTTATACGTTAAAAATTCTAAATCCTTTTTTTTGAGAGGTGGGTTGTGATACCTTCCCGGTGGAGGAAGGTGGTGATGACACTGGCTGTTGTTTTTTGGCTTTCTCTTCCCAGGCCTTACAATGTGTCTGTCATCAACTGCTGTTGTCCCTTGTTGTAGCCTCGTTTCCCTTTTCAGGGTATTACCACGTGTTGCTTTGACTGTGTTCAATATTGGCTCTGATAAATTTTTCCTCTATCTCAGCTTCTGAATTGCTTTCCTCCCATACAAAGCTCTCTGCTCTTCATGTTGGATTATCCCTTTTAATGACAAATACAGTCCTCACGATGTAACCAAAGACTAAAACCAAGAATAAACATTCAGAACTATTTAATGTTTAACAAGCGCTCTTAAAGGCAACAAAAGAACCTGTTAGACACTAACATCTCTGATTACTTGAAAAATGAGTGGATTCAAACAAAACGTTGCTTAACATGTATCTATCTATACTAATATATATATCCCATCGTGGGATCCCATTGGATCGTAAACCCCAAAATTGACCATGCTGTTCCAATAGTTGTGGAGGGAATTGCAAATGTAGCACTTTGTTTATGGGAAAACATTTTGAATGAACGTAATCCAGGCAGGCATTATGATTGTCGTTCCGTATTAACTTTAATATTCAGCAGACAATGCGTCTTTATTGCCGCTCTCTGTCACTGTAGCCTTATCTTGTGCTCGGATGTCCCTCCTTCAGTTGGGTGGTCAGTGGATCACAGACACCTGATTATAAAACAGTGTCCTTAGAAAACAAGGACACCAAAGTAACAAGCGCAGTGTCCTCAGAAAAACGTGCCACATGGTCTATCTCTCCCCTTCAGTTTCTTTTTAAGTTGTTTCTCTGTCAATCATACTCGTTCTAACTTAATCTCTCTCTCTCCTTCCCTCCCTCGTCTGAATCGGGACCTGAAATGACCAGCACACGTTCCCACTGGGGGGCTTGGACTGATTCATGTGGGAGCTGCTGCAGAGCTTCGCATTTCTTGTCTTAATATGTCCAGGCAGATGAAAGGGGGAACAGAGCAAACTGATGGCACAGACCAGTGCTGCATTTTCATTCCTTTGAAATGGGAGTATAGTGTGATGCCAGGATTCACCAGGGGGTCTTACAAAGCCAAGGCAATAATGAAGAGGAGAGTTATGGGGAGGGAGGAGGTGTGTAGTTGCAGATTGGTGAGAGAGAGGGGGAAATAAGGAAAACGAAACGAATGGGGAGGGAGATGGAGAAGAAAATGAAAGAAATCACTCGGAGCCGGAGATGACGGTAAATGAAATAAAGTGCAATAACTGTTGGTAATGTTAAAGTCCTTGTAAGTCCTGGCTTTTTA